ATGAACCTACCAAAATGGGAATTCCAAAACTAAGGTGACCTTAATGAAACCACTGACGGCATCTATAAATGAGAATAAAGCACACACTGGGGCAGCGTTGTGTCACGTATGACCCCACTTTGGAAGCGAAGGCAAGAGAAATGCTAGCTCAAGAGCCAGCACGTTTCAACATTGAGACCCCTCTCCAAAGCCAAACCAAGCAAAGCCAAAGAACACACCATAGCTTCATTTTAGAGGATCCAAGAGGCGCCCTGGCAGCAGGACAGGTTTATGCTGTCATTCAAGTCTCTGTCAGGGCTGTGTTTTGTTTGGCTGCATGACAAAGATATGGGGAAGGTTTCAAACCCACAAGGTAATCTGCATGATCATGTCTGGATGGCCAAGGGGTCAGAGTGATGCTTGGGTAAAGATCACGTGGGAAGCTGCTGTCTCCTGGGCCAGATCCTGACAGGCAATGTGTCTAGAAAGCGATCTATAGAAACACACTGCAGGAGGGACAGATGCATTGTGGGACCACATGCCAAGCGGGATGACCACAACGTCCTAAGAAAGGTGGACCAGAAAGGAAGAGTGGGCCTGGAAACATCTGAACAGCGCAGCTCTAGACTACTGACTTCCAGATATCTTGTCACCTGAGTCACATAAATCCATTTCCAGCCAAACTCATTCCTAAATGGAGATACAGGCTCTGGTGCCTGAGAGGTCTCTGCCTGAAAAGTATTATTTGAGGGGGTATGGATGGGGTTTCTCTAAAAGTCACCCCCCTGGCACACAACTCAAAGTTGCCTCACTGGAAAAAGCATATATTCCCAGAGGGGACTATAGAAATGTCTCAAGAGAAGAGGGCTGGGAAGGGTCTCAGGTGGTAAAGTGCCTGCCGCCTAAGCACAAGGAAGAGAACTTGGATTCCAGTTAGTCTTGCTGAATTAATGAGCATCAGACAGATCCGATCTCAAAAAACTAAGACAGCAATAGAGGAAGACACCTGATGCCGACCTCTGGCTTCCAGAGGTCACACATGTTCACACATGCACTAGCATGTACACAGGCATATGTATACACATGCAACTCCCCCACCCCTCATTTTCAAAAAATGAGAGTTAATACATGCAAAGTCTAAGAATACAAAAGTCCCAGGGTAGAAAATAATGTATTTTGATGGCCCTTCACCTTAGAAATGTTGCTTGAATGACTCATGGAATGTCCCAATGTCTTCTCATTCTGCAAGAAAGCCAAACAGGCAGTAATTATTAAGCTGTGATTAAAAACATGCACAGAACAAGCAATCAATTATAATACTTCTAGTAACAAGTTATTCCTGTAAGCACAAACCACTATACTAAATGCATATTCCTAGGTATTAAATTTGGAAATTTGGGCAAAAGTAAATAAAACGATCCTTGCCCTAAGGAACTTAAGAAGGGAAGATCAGGATATTGGAACTGTAAAAATAAAGCCACAACAACTGTCTTAAGATATTTTAAGTTCATAGTTCAGTCATGGATGGGTCCCACTTTGATTGCTTGCCACAGGACTGCTAAACTAAGTGGACCACATCCCCTCCGACCATTTAAACAGAAGCCCCATTGTTAGTACCCCAAAAACAGATTGGGGGTCACTAGATGGACCCCTTTGTTAGCTGATGTTCTCAAGAAGAAATCACACCTACATTAGACACTAAAAGGCTCATATCTGATCAGAATGTCAGTGGTTGTGAGGAGGTTGGATTATTGCAGGTCCAGAGCCAAACTATCTTGGGGTATCTAAAGTCCTTTAAATAATTATTCACTGCCCACTGCTGTGTGTGACCCAAAATCCCCATGGCTGTTAGATCACAGACCCTCCAGCTGCTCCCTCCCATATCTAGCTTCATGTTCCTGGCAAGTTCTCGCCTATCCAGCAGGTACCTGGACAATACAGGCCACACATTAACCCAGTCCCTGCTCCGACCTTGAAGAGTGGGCAGCCTGCTTTGTCTGGTGGGACTGTAGCTTCTCTGCTTCAGAACCTGACGAACTCGTGCTGCCTGTGTCTACAGTGTGACTGACACAGCTCCCCACGGAAAGGCCATCTGAATCTGACTGTGCTGTGCTGCCTTTTATGGTTTGCTTTTTAAAGTGCTTAGTTTAAAGTATCCATTTTGTTTGTGTACTCTGAAAACCTTTTGGTTTCCAAATGTTCAGTTTGGTTTTTTTTTTGTTGTTGTTGTTGTTGTTGTTTTGTTTTGCTTTGCTTTGCTTTGCATTGCTTTGAGAAAGATCTATGTAGCCCGGGCTGTCCTGAAACTTTCTCTGCAGACCAGGTTAACCTCAAACGCATAGAGATCCTCCTGCCTCTGCCTCCTGAGTGTTGGGATTAAAGGTGTTAAAGGTATGTGCACCAGCACTGGTACTATTCAGTTTAATTGCTAGTATTCACTCCCCCAATACCAAATTCAAGGACATGTTTAGAAAAACAGCTGTTTGATACTCCAGCTGGCTTTGCTTGATAACTGTGTTAATAATTTAACTTGCAGCTATTGAGGGGCTCTAATTATAGAAATGAGGAATATCCAATGTATACATTTTTGAGTGATAAATGAAAGTTCTTAGGTAACAGAATTATAGATTATGAATGGACACCTTGTTTTAACTGGAATTTAACAAACTTAAGGTATAAAAAATATATAACTGGTAACTTACAAATTCAGAAAGGAAAAAAGTATATTCTCCCTCATATGTGGATGCTAGCCTATAATGTACATATGTGTATACACACAATCATAAACAAGAATATGACTGTAACGTATAAAACTATATTCAACAAATATACTAAAGTGAACCTATTTGAAGTAAGATAAAATGCATCATTAATAAGACAGTATAATCTAAATTAACAGTGATGTAGTTGTCTGCAATGCTTTCGTTTTTTAATTCTTTTTAAAACTTTAGGTAATAACAAAGTGACAAGCATTAGGAAAATAGACAAGATGGTTAAACATAAGACCTAACAGCTAATACTTGCTCAGGAGCCATTCACCTACACTCTGTAATTCAGCTTTTTCTTTTACTTTTCTTTCTTTTTTTCTTTCTCCCCCCTCTTTTTTTTTTTTTACAATTTATTTAGAATATTTTCTTGTGTGTGTGTCTGTGTGTATGTGTGTCTGTGTGGGTGCATGCCATGTGTATGCATATACCCTCAGAGGCCAGAAGAGTGTGCTGCTAGGTCCCTCGGAGCTCAAGTTACAGGTAGCTGTGAGCCACTTAACATGAATGACAGGAACTGAACTTGGGTCCTCTAAAAGAGCAGGGATCTGAGCATCCCTCCAGCCTTTTCTGCTTTCTCTTTTATAAGGTGTGTTTTATAAATAGGTGAGAGGTGTACTGAAGGAGATGATACTGGCGGTAACTCTGAGCTCTTAAACAGAGTATATCTTTAAAAAAAAAAAAACAAAACAAACAAAAAACCAACCAGGCAGCAGTAGCTTACGCCTTTAATCCCCGCACTCGGGAGGCAGAGCCAGGCTGATCTCTGTGAGTTTGAGGCCAGCCTAGTCTACAGGGCGAGATCCAGGACAGGCATCAAAACTACACAGAGAAACCCTGTCTAGAAAAAAACAAAAACAACAACAACAACAAAAACCCAAAAAGCAAAGTCTCAAAGGATAGAGCAAGCTAGCCTTAAACTCAGAGATCTGCCTGCCCCAACACTGGGATTAAAGAAATGTACCACCACACCCAGCTAAACATATTATGTCTTAGTGGAGCATACTGCTTCCCTTAATATCCCTAAGTACCAAACGTACAAAATTTAAAACTCCTGAAATCATAAATAAACACAGTTCCCCGTGACACAGATTGACAAATGCTTTTCAAATTGAACACACAACATGGTAAAATTAGGATAACAATTATGGCAGCAATGTACTGAAGAATACAATCTTTTCCAGTGCATTTTCCACTAAGGATCTCTGTATTCATAACTAATTTTTATTAATTATGTAAACAAATGAATAGACATTTGTGTTTCTTAAAAATTATATATAGGGGTTAGAGAGATGGCTCAGCAGTTAAAAGCACTGGTTTCTCTTCCAGAGAACCAGGGTTTGATTCCTAGTACCCACAGAACAGCTCACAACTGTTTGTAGCTCCAGTTCCAATGGATCTGATGCCCTCTTTTGACCTCTATAGGCACCAAGCTCACACATGGTGCATGTACATATAAGCAGGTAAACACACACATAAAATAAAAATATTAAAAAATCACCTCAATGTTTTAAAATTTTATGTATGAAATAAATATATAAAACCTTAAAATTAAAGTAATCTACATCAATACAAGTTGGAACTCATTTGCTATAAAATTACTGAAATTATACTACTTCCTACAGTTGTATAACATGAACCACAAAAGCTATTAGAAATCTTAATTAAGAATGCACTCATTTAGAAACACACTTATTGGCTAGCTACTACAAGCCAGGTATTGTTCTAGGCCCTTAAGAATGGGGGTGGCAAATAAAACAAAGACCCCACACACACACATTCATAGAGCTTAATAAAATGGAGTAGGAAAATTAAGCATGATGGCCTATGCCTATAATCACAGTATTTGGGAAGCTGAGTCAGGAGGATCATCAGTTTAAGCCTAGCCTAATCTATACAGCAAGACCCTGTTTTAAAAAAAAAAAAAAGTGTTATCAGATTTGGTCCTGATTACTTTTGTGTAATTCTGTGTCCCACAGTTCAGGAGCATTATCTCACAGTCTCAACAAACAAAAGTATCATCTATAAAAAATCTAACAGACAAAGCAAAAGGCATCATCAGAACAGCCCTGTCAAATGAAATTACATGTCTAGTCTGCCAGTGCATATGTGCACACACATACACACACAACAGCTCGAATGCATACACAGTAAGTCACATCGACAAACAGAACAAAGACCCTTTGTTCCACCTTCTATTTTTCCAAATGCTCCCATAGAAACAATGGAGATGGCTTCTACACACAATACCTCCTCTAGAAAAGAGTCTGTAGCTTCATTGATTCAAATACTAAGTTATTTTTCTCAGGATTTTTCAAAGCCAAACTCCACAATTCAAAATTAGATGGTCAATATTCATAAATAAAAAGGTATTTTTACATCAAAGGATGGCATTTAAAAAATTGCGACAGGACATTTAAATGTTTATTGTCTTAGGAATATGTTCAACAAATGGAAGGCATATATTCTATTAGAGCAAATTCCATTGGAAAAAATGTACATCCCTGGCAATAAGAACTGCAAGATGAATACTTGGTGCTTCCAGGGAAGGACCCTTGAGCGAGCCTGAGGTTCCGGAGCTTGTTAAGGCTTCCATCCCTAAGTCAGTGAGAAACCTGGGCAGTGCTGACAGAACGCTTGTCCTACCTGAAGCGTCATCTTCCAACAGGAATGCATGGGCGTGTCCTCAGTGCAGCTCTCTCAGGCAGCATGGTGCCCTGTGCAGGGGACGGGCTGTGCCTGAACTGCAGCTGCCCTGCAGCCCTACGGCAGCCAGCAGAACCACACTGATCTGCTGCTGGACTTCAGGGCTACACTCCTGTGATCAAACCAGACTAACTACTTCCTCCAGCTGATTTCCAAGGAAGGAGGTAGTTAATGAATAATTCATGACAAGTCCATTCCCGAAACCGATTTCACTTCTGCTCTATGGTCCTCCTACAGCAATATACGAGGTAAAGATTCTAAGCTAGACTTGCTGGCTTGCAAATGATAGAAGTTCAATTTCCAGTTCTGTTTGTTCTTGTATGTTAACCTATCACCCAGACTTACTTGAGAGACTTCAAAAAAAAAAAAAAAAAAAAAAAGGGTATTAAGAGTAAATAATTAACCACAGATATCTGAAAGAACAACATTTTCCCCCTCTATCAACTAGTCCTAGCGGGGCTGAGCTGTACAAGCAGAAGCAGAGTACTTGTAAGACATGCCAGCTTGGGGAGGGGAGTTCTGAACAGCAATGCTAGGAAACAAAACTGCTTGGAGCGGTATTTTCCTGCTCTCTGGCTATAAATAAACCTTTTATCTCACCAGTATTCTTCAAGAAAGCGGATGAACATTCATTCCCCCAACTGTTAATGCTTGCATGTTTCTAAGTGAGTGATGTCTGAAGCAGCCATTTCTTTGCTACTGGAAACACAATTGCAAGACAAACTTGACCCAAAAGGCTGGTGACCCCTCCCTCCCCCTGGCCACTACATG